TTATGGATATTTTACAAATCACTCCCCTTTTAAACTCTATTCTTGTTTTACTGCCATATAGTATTTCATAACTGTTTTTCCTTTATTCTCTTATTTTTTTTATAACTATAATGATCATATGAAGGTGTGCCGCGGAAATAATCTTTTGAATAATTTGTGACCAAACCGTTTGAGACCCACTGAGATAACTTAGACTAAAGTTAACTACCTAAACACTCAGAGAGTCCTTTAGCTCACCTGAGTCTCTCAGTCTGACAGGAGAGGACTCTCCTCCAGCAGCTTGTTGTGGAACAAACCGCTCCTTATGTCTGTTAGCGCAGCTAGCTAACCAGATGCTAACAACACGGTCCCTGCTGTTCTTATTATACATCCATGGCTGGCACCGGTCCCTCTCTCTCCCTGTCTCCCTCTCTCTCTATCACACTAAATGCGCTATTACCACACACACACAGAGCCGAGCTGACACAAGCACACGTTTATTTCCATGCAACTCTCTGATTGGTCTGGTGTCATGCCTCTGTTGCATTCACTGAACACGGGAAATTACAGTCCTGCCGTCCTCTCTTGTGTCATGATGAGGTTCACGTAAAGCACAGTTAATGTATTATATTATTGGAGGGTGAATTGTCCGGGGCTAAAGAAAAAACATTCGGGGCTAAAGCCCCGAATGCCCAGGCCAGGCGACGCCACTGGTTAGCCCTACCATAGATTACCCAACAAAAATACTCTGGCGCCGCCACTGCATGTATGAGATCATTAAGTGCCTTGTAACTTCTTTTTTTATAGTTTCACTCCGTTTGAATGTCAGTGGACTGCAAAAAAGTCAATAAAGGAGCATGGCTGCTCATTCCCTGACTCTCAAAATAGTTTGGCTGGCTGTTTAATCTATGTTCACACTGAGACAGTACAACACAGAGAGAGAACAGTACACCTATTGTGTAAGAACATACAAGCAGGTCACACAGTATGATCACAAATACATAAACTCTGTTAAAAATCTGTTTTTATTAAAAAGTACAGGCTGCCTATGTGTTCTCAACCTTGGAGAAACTTGACATGTTTTGGTCAACACAGTCTCACGGCATTTCGTGTTATAGTCACGAAATTAATCTATTGATTCGTGTTCACCAACACGATTTCCCCATTTTTTTCGTGTCACACAACGATTTTAAAAGCAATGTAAATAATAACAAATTAGAAGGAAAAAGAGATTAAAAAAAATACAGATTTAAGTATTCTGACACAGAACGATTTTAGAAGCAATAGCCGCGTTCACACCGGAGTACTTTCACCGTACTTTTCGCGTTTTAGTTCCGTGAGTACCCCTTATGTCGCGTTCACACCAAAAATCGTACTTAATCTCGGGTACTTTTACCCCCATTTTTAGAGCCAGCTCAGAGAGCGTACTTTTCTGTGGGTGAAAAGTGCTCCAAAAGTGCCCCAGTGCTGATTGGCTGGGCGAATTGCAAACCACGCCCGTACAACTCTGAAAATGTTGTGTGGAGACGCCATTGTTTTTCCTCGCTACAAAAACACAACGCTCCGTGCGTTGTGTTTGTTTTTGAAAGCAGTTATGGCAAGCATCAAGAAATGATGAGGAGGTGTCGGCGCTTCTGGAGATCTACGCAGAGGACGCGACCCAGGGAATGCTACTGAAGCCAGTTCGGTAGCTTTCACTCGACCTGGGAATGTGCACAGCCCCACCGGCTAAAAATAAAGAAACTCGGGCAGGACTACAAACGGCGGATTCAGTGGCCAACGATGACGACCACGACGAAGGTAAAATCAACTACATGCACTGGGGTTTTAATCTGCACAATAATGGTCTCAGATGTACTTTTATTTGCTCAGTAGATCAAGCTAGCCATGCTAGCCATAATAGGCTAACACCGGCCCCGAGCACACAGTACACACACACTGTAACTTTGTCTTGAAAGAACGTTACGCATCGAACTGATGTTCACAATCATGTTTATTTCATAATATTCATCATATTTTATGTTTAACTTGCCTCAACAACATTAAACAAAGTTCAAGCATACATGAAGCACTCTTCAAAAAGGAACAATCCTCCGTGTTTGAACCTCTTAAATCGCTGCATAGCCGATTTATTTGGACTGGATTATCCCAGAGAGGCCAAACATTCTTTATAACACAGTTTCAGATTTGTGAAACCTTAATTCTATTTGTGAAAATAAAAAAAAAGGGAGATTTCAGTGCTTTTTTTACATGTAGACCACATTAGACCAGGTCCTGATCTAAAACCACTATACCTAGACTCATCAAATCTGGACTGGATTATCCCAGAGAGTCAAAAGATTCTTTATAACACAGTTTCAGATTTGTGAAACCTTAATTCTATTTGTGAAAATACAAAAAACACATTCCTAGTATGTTGTAAAACTACATGGCGACTAAACTTGTATATTGTATATTGCTTATTTTCCCCTCTTAGGAAAGCGGACACGGGATGCGAATTTCTTTGACACCGCCCAGGCGTTGGAGGACCGGCGTGCCGTGGTGAATGAGTCGCTGCGTGGAGATCAGATGGTGCTGTTCACCAAGGCCCAGGAAACGGAGGACAAGATGCTCACCTCGATGGAGCGCCAGGCAGAAGTGTTCAAGCAGCAGATGGAGCGCCAGCAGCACCAGGATGAAGTGTGGGCGCTGCGCCATGAGGAAGCGTCGGCGCAGCGGCAGGATGAGCGACAAACTGCATTTAATAACAGTTTATTTGGTATAGTTTTTGTAAATACTGACACACGACACACAACGTTGCACTAAGGTGTGCATGCTGCTGAGAATATCCCTACACCTGGGACAGTTTATTTTATATTGTTATTACTGTTATGACTTTATTTTATATATAATGTTTACTGACATGTACAACTGACACTTTATTTACATTTAAAATTGTTCTATTTAATGTTATGTCTTGAGAGTGCAATAAAGAAAACCGACATGGCGATTAAGCTTATTTCTCCTGACACTTTATCTTTTGTGACCTGTGTAGCATCCTATACATCACATGTAAGTGATTATTCTGATACCATCATGTTTCATCGGTTATAAACTGGCAAAGCTTTATTTGTCATTTATTTATCATCAATGTTGCAACCTTGTGGGGGAATGGCAGGGGCACATACACAAATATGACAATTTATATCATTTTAAATATTATTTGACCTAAACTTTTAATTCCCCCCCATTTCACACAACACAACATGGAGCCCACTATGGGCCAAAACTAACATGTATGTTTGCATAGTGTTTATGGCAGACGGATGCAGTGGGTCTCAGGAAGATATATAATAAAGGTGGGTTTGCTGCTGAGACTCCCTACACCTGGGAGTTTATTTTATATTGTTATTACTGTTATTATATAGTACAACTGACACTTTATTTTATATTGACAATGTTTACTGACATGTACAACTGACACTTTAGTTACATTTAAAATATTTCTATTTAATGTTATGTCTTGAGAGTGCAATAAAGAAAACCGACATGGCGATTAAACAGATCCTGTATCAGTTTTTCTTCTTCTTCTCTTGTTTTGTAGCGGGTTGCAAACAACTTTAAGGTGCTTACCGCCACCTACTGTACTTGTAATCTTCCCTCAGGGAAAAGTACTCCGGTGTGAACGCGATCTGTACTAAGTGCCCTGGGGTTAAAAGCGCCAGGGCTCTTAGTGCCGGAACTAAGTACAGGAAAGTACTTGGTGTGAACGCGGCTATTGTATTTATATTGGTAGTATGTTTCGTGCCTGCACCAAATAATAACAAATTAGAAGGAAAAGAATATTACAAAAAATACAGATTTCAGTATTCTGAGGCTCTTTGCCTCTTTGCTCTTTCTTTTCCTCACGGACGGCAAAAAAACTCCGACATTATACTATTTAAAATAAAAGGGTTAGGGTAAGATATTGAGTAAGAGAATGTTTTTATGAACCACACAGCTTCTGGTATTCCAAGACCCGACCGGACAAAAAGACGTGGTGCAGGCACGAAACATACTACCAATAGAAATACATTGCTTTTAAAATCGTTCTGTGTGACACGAAAAAAATGCGAAATTCGTGTTGGTGAACACGAATCAATAGATTCAATTAATTTCGTGACTAACACGAAATGCCGTGAGACTAGGTTGGTTTTGGTATGTGTCTGAACCTCTCTATAGTGGTTCATTAATAAAACAGATATTTCAACGTGTACCTACTTTGTTCATGTACTGTTGAGGTTAATTTCAGTAGTTGTGTGCTATAATGTATTTACAAAGTGTGAAGAGGAGGCAACTTTAGAATAGGGAACCTGTTCAGGTCAATTAGAGTCAAACTACTAGCTTATTGGTTATGAACAAGACTTCACTGTAAAATAGGGAACATGTTCTTAGATAGAAATACCTAATTTTGAGTTGTTTAGACTTAATTAACACTTATAGTTTCATGTCTTGTTACATAAGTGTTATTATGGGAGAATTACTATTCTTGTGCTACTACTGCCTTATTTGGCCCATATTGAGCAGCGCATATTGAGCAGCGCATATTAAGACAAAAACTCATGTACAACAACTTCCTTACTTGCAATAAATAAGCACTAATTAGAGGGTTATTGAGGAAAAACTCTCAACTAATGGCTTATTACTTGTAGAATATGGTCATGTAGAATAAGGCATTAATAAGTGTTTTATAATGACTAATAAAGAGCCAATATACTGCTAATATGCATGTTAATTAACAACTAGTTGATGGTTAATTTGTGTACCTTAATATAAAGTGTTACCGTGTGTAACAATCAACCTGCAGATGTCTGGTTATTAAAACTCATCTTTTTTTAACAAAAACATGATGTAACTAACAAAAACAAAGCAGATCTTCTCTGACTGCCAAAAAACACAATGTTCGCTCTGATGGATTCATCTCAAACAAGTTTTAATCCTCAGCCAGGATTCTGTATTCTGGTGATACTCGGTTAACTCTCTTTCCTTCCCGTTCTCTGCAGGTGACCAAGACTATCTTCGCCATCCTGCTGGCCTTCATCATCACGTGGACGCCGTATAACGTCATGGTGCTGATCTCCACCTTCTGCCAGTCCTGTGTCCCTGACACCGTGTGGGTTATCGGCTACTGGCTGTGCTACGTCAACTCCACCATCAACCCGGCATGTTACGCTCTGTGCAACGCCACGTTCAAAAAGACCTTCAAGAACCTGCTGCTGTGCCAGTATAAAAACATAGGTACAAGATGAGGGGGGAGCAGAAGTCTGAGGATGGGGGATGGGGTCAGGAGATATTGTTCAGAGGTGAGTGAAAGGAGGAGATGTGGTTCATGCTGAAACAAAAATCAGAGCAACATGTGAGTGTAAACCTTCAGGTGCACGTCATCACCACGCTTCTAACATGTGATACATTTCCATTATACACTGCAGGAATTCAGGAATATCTTTATTGAAAATGTGTCACAGACAATGCTACACCAACTTGTTAACCCTAGTTATCAAATGTGCGATAAAGTCATTCAGCAACACATAATTGAACTAAAACATGATATATATTTGTTATATTACGCCATGACACATAGCCATGCTGTATGCATAGACCATCATACAGTTGTGAGGGGACACAAAAGAAGGTCAGAAACCCCCCCACCTCCCACAATGACATGTCGGTGGTCACTGTCATATCAATGGACAAAATCGATAAGCCCCAAATAATGTTCTATGGAAACCGCGTAGAGCATAGGCACCATGAAACTGAAGTAAGGTGACAGAGGAGAGGAGGGATGACTGGGGGGGGGGATGACTGAAGACAAGGTGGGGGAGAACAGTTAGTGGAAGAGAGAGGAGAACGTAGCAGCAGAGGGGAAATGTAAGGATTTTACGTAGCATACACTGTGGCAGCCATGTTGGAAGTCTTTAGCTCATGAGCAACAATAGCAGCCAATCGTAAATAAGCTATTTGTAATTTGATTTCATGCTGTAATTCATTAGATTGCTTATCGGTGTTGTCATCAGCAGGTTAGCTTTCGGTTGCGTCGTGGTAGCCCCCTTTTTGCGATAGGAAGACGACATATTCCAATGAGACCATCGGGGGTAGGCAAGGAAGAAAATGTTTAATTTGAATTAGTTGAATACAGTTCAGGAGGTAGTTAAACATAAAGCTTTAATATAAATGCCTCTCAATATTCAAGAGATGTGATTTTCATTAGTTGCCTGTAGTTTCTAGCTAAAAGTTCTTTTTTAAAGTGTAAATGATCATAATAAAACAATATAAAAGGTTATTTACTTGACAAACTAAACTACCAACTAACCCTCTGCAACACATCATCAAACACATTATCTTTGACTTTATTCATAACGGTTCAGATACAGGGTTATTGTGTGTGCCATTTTTATTTCTCTAATGTTTGCACACATGACAAGTTAAATACAGGGAACACAGCTGCAGCTCGATGCTCTCTAACTATAGTACACATTCTGGTTTATCAGGGGTTAAACTCAAAGCACAAAGTGTTTCAAAAACAGCTTCCCGGGGGTGTGTTGATTTTAATTTTAGTTGACGAATGAGATTAGTTCAAAAGTAATCTTGGAGTTTTGAGTTTTTTTGGAGTGAGAGGAAAAATGAATGAAATGCTCGCTGATAATGAACTGGTGAAGAATCATGCAGCTGTCTGTGTTGCTGTTCTATTTGGGTCAGCTCCATTGTGCTTTTTTTATTTATTTATTTACATCAGATTCCATAAACCCTTTTAAATTCAGATCTGTAAAGGCCTGTACTACTTTATCATGATATTTAGTACAGTATTAAATGTCTGCAAGTTAATCTATCACAGTCACTCAGCTGAGACAATCCATTATTCATTATTCAACTGTTTGATCGGGTTAGTCAAACTGCTGTCCTTTGATATCTTAGCATTAGTTATTTAATCATTTGATGAGGTAATACCATGTCAGAACTTTGTGTAGGGTTTAAGTTAGGTCAGACATCAGGCCCTTTTTAAATGCAGCTGATCTGAGAAGTGAAACGTCTCCTAAACTAAATCCTCCGTGGCTCAGTGGGACATGGCAGGGTGTGTGTCTTCTTATAATGTGACTGTCAGAAACTTGACAGGACCTTGTCAATCACCTATTGCCCACACTCAAGAAAAAAGATTAGGACATCCTGTGCCTCCACAGGAAGCAAATACAACTCATTTCTCACAATATGGACGCTCACAAAGTCTTCAATCTGAGAGACTAGTACAGTAAGGACTACGAGGTGCAGTTGAGCATAATTCTCTTCTTCAAAGCCTCTTACAATAAGTGCAAAAGACATAGGGATTCAAACTCTGAACAACAAGGAAAGTGCAGATATATTCACTTCAAGCAAGTCATAACTTTGTAAGTGCTGGTGAATTAGTTAAAAAGCCTAAATTAATTTAAGTGCTTTTGTTTCAAGAATTGTATTGAGCCTATCCAAATTCGGGTGATGTTTGTGAAGACGTTTGCTGTATCACAACATGCTTTATTACCCAACACTGAAATCATCACTTGGAACAGGGCTATGATTTGGAATATAATTGCATGACTGTCACAACCCATGAATTCCAAAGAGACATGACGTGAGAACATTTCCTTTAACAGTCTGCTGGTGTTCTCAGTGAGACACTGGAGGAACATTTCAGGATCATGTGTTCCTTTTCTCTTTCAGTTTGTAATGATCCTTTATGATCCTTTCTCATCTCAATTCTTTTTAATCTGACATTCCTTCTTGGTGTATCTATTTAATTAGCTGAGTTATGCTATGCACATTCGCTCAAATATATTGGAAAAATACATTTAAGGACAAAATACAACAAGGTATTGTGCTGGAATTCTAACATTTCACATGTCAGACACATTTCCAGATAATAAAGTAAGATTTATCCTAGCTGTCAGGGTCATGATGAAACTGTTAGCACATCCTGTGTTTGTTTTCATCCATTGTTCACCTGGAAGGAAACTGTTACACTCCTCTACTGTATATCATCTGCAGCCCCTCACATTTCCTTTTTATTAACACTTTTTTATGATTTAAGTTGTATGACACTATAATACATAAACAGAGTTAGTGACAGTATTTTTTTAAATGCTCTTTGTCGTTTTCTCACAATGAGAATAAAGAGTGTATTGAGATTCTAACAAAGACAACTTGAGAATGGCTGCTCGGTGTAACAAGAAAATAAGGATTAGTGCAAAGAAGAGACAAAACAGAGTGTGAGGGAGGAAGTGTACACAGACAAACATCAGGAAGGATCAGGGCTGACATACTTTGTTGAAAAGATTTGCAGAATGAAGGGATGAGAGCAGAGGTTTGGAAAATCAGAATGACTGCCTGACTTCTTCACTGAGCTTCAACATAAAAGAGTTCCAAACATTTAACGTTACGGGGGGGGCAGGTGGTGCTTTGAGGCTATGGGCAAACAGCAGCTCTGACAGGTCTGGCGATTCCCCTCACCTCAAATTACAAGGGAACACATTTGGTCCCACATCCAAAAAGCAATCTCCAACTCTACATCAAGTCCATCACACATCTCCAACTGGAGTTGTTGCTCAGTTCTGGCTGAGGAACCTGTTGAATTTCCCCCTTGTACAATCAGTGTCATTTTCAAATAGGTTTTGTAGAACCTCAGCAACAATGGTGTAAGCTTTGGCCAAAGGTTGAATAATTACTCAAATGACTAGTTTTATCTGATGATTTGATCGTATCAGATTTCACACAGAATGTATTTCCTGAACAGAACATAGTGAACAGATGTATAATATTTCCACATGAACACTACCAAACTGAAGCAATTGTCTAGAGAGACATTCATTTTGCTAAACAACTGGAAAAGATGTGTCTGTTGGTGGTTTACTGTAAAACGCTGACCACATGTACAGTATAATTCAAAGGGTTGTACATTGTAATATGTTTAAAATACCCCATTCTATGTTGACATCTGTAAATACACAGTTATATATCACATATGGATCATTCCAAAGAGGGGAGACATCTTGTGTTCTTTCCGACTTGATCAAACATATGTACCTCCCACTGTACAGAGCATGAGTGTTATAGTGATATAAAGACATTGTGAATTGTAGTCTTATATTTTGTCAGAGTATTGCTATTATATATTTAGCCAAATGGCATCAGTTAAGTGAAAAGAAAACATTTTTACTATATGGAAGAGCAACTGATTGATCATTTTTATATCAAGAGTACGTCCCTGCATTAAAATGAAAAGCTGTATGTAATATATTGAGAGCTGGAAATCTGTAATATAAATGTCATGTTATATTTCCTCTATGTTAATAACAATCTGTGTATGTATTGTATCGTTTTTAAAATGAATCTTTTCCTCACCAGAGCTGGGTTCTCAGCGGCACACATGGGACAGAATGGCTCTTTAAAGCGTAAATCAACTCCATTGGAATTAAGTGTTGGAATTTGGGGAGTACACAGAAGTAATATCAAACATTTCCGCCCCTAAACTCACAAGAAAGACTCTTAGTCAGCACAAATCGGTTTTTTTCCTCACTCAAACTGATACACAGATAAACAAACTCAAAGGGGCCCTAATATGCTCTTTGTGGTTCTCCCTCTCCTGTAGTGTGTTCTATAGGTGTTAGTGAATGTAAATGGTCTGCAGAGGCTAAAATCCCCCCCAGAGCGAGTTTCTCACACTCAAACATGTAAGTACAGTACACAGTAATCTGTTATTTACTATATTTAATTAAGTTAATAAAACAGTTGATTTCCCCTTTAAAATCAGTCATAATATTCTGGTCCTGTGGTAAAAAAAACCCTCTGGTGATTTTATTCTGTATAATAATTGATGGCTGTTTGTACTTTCTCTTATACTTTTTCATGTACTGTACATTTCAATAGACGCATCATTTTCATGGAGCATCGCCTGGCACACTTTTCAGCTAGTATTACTTTTTAAACAAACATGTATTAAGGATATATTAGAACTTGGGTTGATACCAAACAATCATGCTAATAAACACCTGCTGTTGAAAAGTTGTGTAATGTGTGTTGTCTGAAACAATTTGAATAATGTCTGTTACCCCTTTTACACCAAAGCGGTTCCAGGGCCAGTTTTTCCTGTTTCCACCGCAAGAACTAGTTTTGGAACCCAGACCCAGATACGTCGAAGGCTGGGTCAGATTAAGCTGAGTGAGCACAGTTGTTACAAGAACTAACCACAGATTGCAAAGGGACTAGAAAGCGACCACAAAAATACACTTATATAAAGTCAGCCAATTTGGTGAGCACGTATTTTACTTGGTGTATGTCTGAACTATTACAGCATATTTGACTTCTGTTTAACACCGACTTTTCTCAGAGTGGATTTTCTTTTTCTTCGCACCAAAAGGTCTCCCAAATTGACAACGCAGATACAGCTGGGTTAACATAAGTGATAACATAGAGTTTGAATCAAATCAGGGTCAGTGGTTAGAGAGGACTGGGGCACTGGGGGGGTTCTGACAGGGATTTAATTGCTCCTGCTGGATCTTTATTCCTCAGCGGTTTCCACAAAGTTAACTTAAACCAAATCTTTTAATCCTAAGCGTATTATTCTAAAAACCTTTTTCTTAACAACTTATTTCTGCTACTACATGTACATGTTCTGATTGAAAACCAAACATGTTATCACCTAATTCAAGTTTCTCCTTTAGGTTTACATTAGAAAATAGTTGTTTGATAAAGAGTAAATGAATCAACGGTTCCCTCTTTGAAGGCGTTCCTCTGATGATCCTGTTCCTCGCAGTGATGAAGGTCTGATCCTCGGCTTCCTCACAGCAGCGGGGGCTGCATATCGGAGAAGAATTGGCTCCAAATGACTTGTGATCACAGGAGTCCTGTGGGCACGTCCATGTGTTGAACTGAAATGAAACTTCTCACTTTGGCCGATAAAAAATGCAAAAACACACTCGGCACAGACATCATTGTGTACAGTGGGAACAAAAACAGTGTTTATGTCACCAAAACAAGCATTAAAAACACAGTATTCAGGGAAATACACCAGAAAAATATAGAATTGTATTTTCTTAATCTGTCATTATATTTTAGTTATACAATATTCGTCTTCCATCTGATAACCAAGCATGATTTCTAGCTAGCCCCTCCCACTGGTAATGCCGACGTCACACCCCGTGTAACCATGGCAACACAGATAAAAACTACACAGATCATTTATTCCAGCGCTGATTCCGATGCAAAAGAACACAGAGATCAGAAGATCAGAGCTGACCTAGATTGGGAGGAGCAAGTTGCTAAGAGCCAGAAACAGAACAATTACACGGAAACAATCTCACAGCTAATTCAAAAAGTGGAAATGATTCTTTCAGAAAGCTGTGGTTCCAACAGATGGTATGACTCACACCTGTCTTAAACATATTCAGAGAAACACTCAGTTGTAATATAAAACAGAACAATGGAAGTCAGTGGTGTTTAGCAGCCACTCAGAAGAGGAAGAGGCGGTGTGTTGCCATGGTGAAAATGTGATCACCATTGTTAGCTGAACAACTCTTTTGTCTTTTTATGGAAATCATCACGAGGTATGTGAAACGGTAACTTAAACAGGGTATCGCTCTCATAAACAAACACACACGATTTAGAGTATTGTACCAATATATGAACATGGTTTGAATTTCGTGACACACACATTTCCTCATCAGATGGACTGAATCTCAGGAGGTGTCCAGAGAGTGAGACACAGACACAGTATGTTGTCTGATTCTAAATGTCTCTTGCTGTTCTTGTATCCTCTCCTTGCAATTATAAACCCGTTGTTTTGAGGCAGCTTTCAATGGATTTCTCCTGTAATTTGACATATTTCAAATAACGATTGACTGTTTTTTCCAAAGGTTTAGGATCTCTGGGCTAATGAGCCGACAGCAGCAGGGGTAAGTGAACGATTCTATTCTCCTAACACAACGGTGTATTAATTGCTCATTACAGATATGTTGCATGCATGGAGGATTGATTTTTCACACAGTTTGTTTGCAAAGTCAAACCATCTGCATGGGCTTTTTGTAGAGAAGTTTGGATAGTGGTTATGAACAGAGGGAAGTCTCTAACACGTTTATCTAATATCTTGTTTCTTTGTTGGGTCCTTTTTTGCTGTGCTTCGAAAAGTTTTGTTCTGTTCCCGTTTTTTACAAGTTCATGTCCACTTGTGTGGCACTACAGCTGTAGAAAGTTACTTTTCCAAGTTGGAAAGAGGCTGTAATGCGCCCTGGTGCCCGAACAACTCCTCATCTGAAAAGCAAGATATGAAGTAATAAACAAACATCCGGTGTGTGTAGAGTTCAAATAAAGCAGCTAATTCTGTAAGAATCCCCCCAACATTCAGTCATATGAAGACTAGTTTAGTCACTATCCTGCTGTCCCAATTCTGGCTAGAGAATTGTGTGTTAATGGACAGTGGTTACATTACATTTGAAACCAGACACAACCGCATGTCTTTATTGTTGTGAGCTGGGCTGGGTATATTTGTGAAGGACTGCTAACTGCTCACTAATGAAATGATTTATATATTTGCAGTATAAACAAGGTGTCTGGTGACATTCCTAGGAACATATACTGTAAGTCTTCTGTGCTTGGTCTTCTTCTTGTGTAGCATTAATGGACTACAACTGCATTCTGTTTGGCAACCTTGGAAGGACAATAAATGCCCTTATTGTATTTCAGTATCTGAGCAGACATGTTTTTAATGGGCTGGGAAAAGAGTTCAGAGCTATCAGATAATGTGTGTCACACACCTGAATGTGCTCAGCTTCTGTGCCAAAAAACACAATAAAAGTGTTAAGACAATAGGGGCACCACCTTGCTTGAGTATTGTGAAAAAGTGTCATTGAGTCACCATGAGGGCCTGTGGCCAAAGTCTTCTATTGTTTGATAGCCAGCATATTTTTTCTATTGCTTTTAATGATGGGAGAGCGCATGGCATCGTACGCCGCCGCCTCATTAAAAGGCCCTGTAAAAAGCACCTTTTTTTTTGCCTCGCTCCACGCGCTGATCATATTGAAACCTTGCAGAAAAGCGCAGGTGACGTCCCTGTAAAAAGCAGCTCTTAACTATGGCCTGATCCTGTCCCACCTTCCTGGCACTCCTTACTGTACCCATTTCGCCTGGTTTCCACTTGTAGTAAAATGCTCTTTTTTTACCAGCTTTGCTCCACCTGTGCCTGTACTCGGTCATGTGACTCGTCTGTTGTGAATTCAGCGCTGTCGCCTCCAGCGAGAACATCAAACAATAGGAAGTGGCACAAATGGATAATAAAAAGCAAATGGGGCGATGCTATTTTGTCATACAGGAGCAGTGAAACGTTGTCAGGATATTGTTTGACAAGTGCTTGGAGGGCCTTACCCCGAGCAATTTCAGTTTGCAGGTTTAACATTATTGGTATGGCAACATTTTATTATATTTAGGGTCCTTGTTACGAGTCAGGTGATAATGTAGGACCAATATTTGTATGATAATTGGCCCATTTTCCCAAACAATGAGCATTACTGAAATCTCCAGCTAACACACTTAGCCTGCCCCGAGGCTGCCCGCTGCTCTGCCTGGTTATTAACCAGCCTGCAGGGTCTGACTGACATGTTTGCCCTTTAGGCCTGACTCTGACAAACAATAACAATACTTAAAATCCATACCAGCCTTCAGTCTATGACTATATGTTCCGCAGCAAAATAGGATTTCTTCATGGCCTGCCACAATTTAGTTTCCTCCCACGAGGATTGTAAGACTCTGGGATAAGGCAGCATATCGGGGGGGGGGGGGTCATTGAATTCAGGATCAGCACATCAACAATGCATATTGGCGTTCTGCCGACAGAACCCGGTTGTCAATAATACATATAGGTGTAAAGCAGAAGTGTTTTAAATAAGGAAATGTTTGGGGTACTTGTAATTAACTTAAGTATTTCCATGTCATGCTACTTTATACTTCTACTCCACTATATTTTGAAAGCCAATATTGTACTTTTTATTTGACAAAATGAGTTAGTAGTTATTGGCTACAGTATAACAAAATATAAGTGAACTAAAACATAAACCAGGGGTAGGCAAGTAAGTTTGGCCGTGGGCCAATTTTTTGCTGAGCCACAAGATGGCGGGCCAGAACATAATCAAGGAATTGATTTTGGTAAGAGGGCGCAGCGCCCCTGTTCCCCGGTTCAGAAAAAATCTCTGATATCGCTGATAACCCTCCCCATCAACACTCTGATGCCCAGTCAGATCCGCTGATTGGTTCACTGATGATATAGGCGCCCAATCCAGAGCCTCTGGATAGACCCGCCCAAAGGGAGGATCGTCGTCTCTAGCCCCATTTCAGTCCCATGTTAAAAGTCAGGGCTATTATCTGTATTTGAACAGACTTATCTTTTACATTGAGGTGCATTTATTGTTCTCTTCAAAGTAAAAACATTTCTGAAATTTTAGGGAGGATGGTCCTCCCTTTCCTCAATGGACGAGCCTCCACTGAGTGAGTTATTAACTAGGTAGCAGTGTTATTTAACATACTTTTATTCTGATAAGTATTGTCAAGTTCTCTGGGTTTTTGGCATTTATTTGAGTGTTTGCCCACATTTGAGAGGCTTGAGGGGCAACAGAGGACGCATGGACAACTGGAATCCTTTTTCCTTTTCTTTATTTCAACTTTTCAAGGACACATTAGGATTCTTTCAGGTTGAAAACCTTTAAAAAATACAAAATAAATAAATTACAGCATGTTTTGCTTTGCAATTTATTTAATATATTATAACCTAAATTAATCAGTAACCAAGTATTTTACTCAACTCAATGTATTTAATAGTTAAAGGGGACCTATCATGCAAAATGCACTTTTGTACGTCTTTTATACATGAATATGTGTCCCCGGTGTTCCAGGGAACTCACCAAGTGTCAGAAAACACAACCCTCTCTATTTTCCTCCATACCCAAATCTCTAAAAAAGGGGCTGCAACGGATCTGATGAAAACTGATCCAGATTTGAACACGTTCCTGACGTCAGGACGGTGGCGCTACGGCTATTGGGCCAACTCCACCAATCAGGAGGAGACAGCCACGGCCATTGCCGTTCGAAAGCGCTGGAGACGCTGTAGTACATATGCCAGGCCTGTAAGTGTAGTCTGCCACAAAAGCAGCGAAGAAGACTTCCCGCGCATGGTTGCCATGGTTACCCTTCTGTTTATTCTCCGCTGTGGCTTTTGTTCTCCCTCCCCGAGACAAGCACTGTAATTCTCTCCGGTTAGTCCACCAGCAGATGACAAACACCCACCTCTCCGCCTCTTCCAAGGAACGACTGTGCGGCAGAGTTTCAGTTAGGTTTTCTTTCGCCGGTCAAGATGTCCGTTAAAGTTTAAATCTTCCGGACAAAATTTGAAAAGTGCCGGTCAAAGGTCTTCTTTGTTATTTATTGAGCTTTAAAACAAATGAATAACGACTCTATATAATAATATAAGAATAAAACACGGAGGACGGAGATCTCTTTTTCTCCCCCTCTTCTGACTTGATCAGAGCACGCTCCCCTCTCCTGCAGGGGGGCGTGGTCAGCTGCAGCTCACAGAATCAGCCCCCTGCAAAAACAGGGCTGGAGAACAGCAAATAGAGTGAAATGAGGCATGGCTAAAATGCATGATCTGTTTGGTATTTTGAAAACAGAAACGTATAAATATACCTTATATAGGTATGGCCCTACAATATATCATTTAAATATAGCATGATAGGTGTCCTTTAAATAAGTACTTTAATTGACGTCAGTGCACCCCGCTGCCTGATTGTGCCTGTGCTGTATGTCATTCATTCTCAACATAGATAAAAGTACAATAAGCATTCCTCAGGTGTAGGTAGAATCTCTATTCGGACATTATAGCCTATATGTGCGACTGTCGGTGCGATGTTGTAAAAAAAAAAAAAAAAAAAAGAATCTCAAAATATCTTTTGATTTTTTATTCTCAAAATGACGGGCCAAATATTATTGCTGGCGGGCCAACAATGGCCCGCGGGCCGCCTGTTGCCGACCCATGACATAAACTATCATATAAAAGGTTAGGTTCAGATATCCAACAGCAGTACATAAAGTCATTAAAATTATCTCCACTTTAACCAGCTGTGATGAACACATGCTTTTTTGTTTAAATAAAAATAATCCAGTAATTTAATATATATATATGACTATATTTTACTTTTGACTTCACAATCTTTTTTTTCTTCAGATTTAGTTGGGAATAACCAACGTGTAAAATACGATGCTTTTCCTTTAGAATATTCTAATATCTTTTAGTTTTCTGCAATGAGAACATCTATTCCACCTTCCTTTGATCATACTTAAAGAGCAACTTGCAGGTTAGAGACCCCCAGTGAATGAATGTGTAGGAAAATGATGTATACACTAGATTTTCAACTGACTACAGTGACATCTGGCGTCGTTTTTGTAAGACATTTTTACTTCCGCATAAAAAAAGACCACCCGCGTGTGACGTCACATCAGGGAGAGCGGCCGGTCTAACGTATTAATAAACATGGATCACAATGCTAGTTTTGACACAGAAGAGGTTGAAAATGTATATTCGTATGCACTGGGCCGTATCCAGGATTTCCTAAATATCGAGGTCCAAACATGTTAGGGGCGAGATTTTTGGGATTTTCATGATCTAGTTAGGTGCTTTTTAAGTCCTGTGGGGGGTCACACATTGGATAATATATTGATTTCAAACCATGTCAGTGCGCTGACAATGTCAGCATCAATTATTTTGAAAGTGTAATCCATAAGAATCAGTTGATTGTTACTATTAATGATCTGGACATGCAGAAGAGGCTAAAATGATCACACAACATTGTCAACATTGATTTTCCATGTCTCTCTCCTTTCCATAACCTGCAGCCTCTCTTCCATCTTCTTT